AACCGAAGTTGTCAGTTGCATTTAGAATAGCTTTGTACTTTAGCTTCGGAACCACATAAGAAGACAGACAACCTCATTGCTATGCACTATACCATTTCCGAGTCAAGTTAGTAAATAGAGGAGGCAAATTGGTTCATAAGCATTTTCAACTTGGTTCGTAAGCATTTTCAACTTGGTTCGTAAGCATTTTCAACTTGGTTCATAAGCAGTTTCAAGTTGGTGCGTTTCAAAGTTTGGCTAAGATGCACACACGCACCGACGAGTAGCTTCCTCATTGGTCAGACACCGTCGGCCAACAGGATGCAATGTTTCACTATTGAGCAGGTGTTCTCAAACTTTTCGGCACGTGCACTCCTTTGTAGTGTAACCTAGCACGACGGACCCCTGAGCTTTCCTTATCCACAGAACTAGGCTTTAATAACATAAGAATGAGGTGGAGTTCATAGCTGCACACTGAATTTGCACAGTTGTTCATTTATGTTGGCAAAAGTGAAGGCTGTTGAACTTACATGCAAATGCAACTATATTAAGGCCTAGTACCTTGGATAAAATTCGTTCCAACATGCAGCGCTGACTTGTTTGATACTAGGTGTTATTGAGGAAAGCTATAACCTTGGATCTGGTTACGCTTCAGGTCTGTTTCGGTACTTTGTTTTGTATAGATATAATGTGAGAATGCAATCTCACACAGATAAGTTGTGGCAAATGGGAGAAGCACGGCGATATCTGTCTACTATGACAAGGTACACATCGTTCGCTTTGCATCAGAAATCACACAGAGTCTGTGAAAAGCTTTTTGAAAGGAAGAGTCTTAGGTCATCTCCATGTATTTTGTATGCATGGCCGGATACATTTCTCGGTTCTGCTGTCAGCGCATTACGATAACTAACGATGTTAGATGCTTCCGTAGCTCTTTTACAGTCTGCGACGCTTTAAGCATGTACGTTTTGGTGTTCAATATTTCATCTCACATGCGCTGTATGTGCCTTTTTCTGTCTTTACAGTCCGTATGAACTTTTCAAATTGCCGCTGCATTTTAATAGGTACCATGTTCAGAAGAACTTTGTTACACAAGTCAGTTTGTGGACAATTATTGGACTCTATAAATCCAAAACAAAGAGAAATGTTGTTGTATTTCCGCCTCTTACCCACTGGTACAGAGGGTCCGGTTGGCACAGACTTATATTACACCACATCAGGTAGTACAGAAACATCGCACGTCTTAGTTGCTGCATGCTCAGAAAGCACATTGGATGGCCCAACTACTACTACATCTGAATTCGACGAAGAATATTCCTGTGAAACATTTAGCAGTATTTCATTCTTCAGTTCATGGTCTCTGTTGATGTTACATGTCTAACTACCACAATGGAGATAAATAATTAAACACAAGAGTCCAAAACACACCAGGAATTTCGTTACTATGATAAGTTGTACTTTGAACGAAGTATCGTAGTGAACGAAAGTGCCACCCTTTCGTAACGTCGCTGATGTAGTTTCCCTCGAGTTCGCATAATCGGCTGAGCACATTCGTTAAACACAGAAATATCCACGCTTTCCTGCTGAGCTTCCATTGAAGCGATCCCGCAAACGGGCCTCCCTTCCGGTTTGCTTATTTTTCGGAGAATAGTAACACTTGAAATGACCGCAAACTTGAGCCCTATCATATGGCATACTTCTCGCTGCCTCTCCAGGGACAGAGACTGGGTTATATGAGCTTGAGTGGACGTAGAATGACCCATCTAGCCACTGCCCATGGCATTACGGTGAAATTAACACACCAACTTTCTGAACTTGGAAAGCCTCGTTCGCTCACATTTTAACTCCCAGCCAAAACAAGCTTCCTCCTTGGAAGAGGTATGTTTGTAGGGGCAATGCAATGTAAACCGTTAGGTTTGATTTAAAAATTTTTACTGCACGTTTGTCATAAATTTGTGACATAGACTGATCGCGTCCATAAAATTTCCTAATAGAAGTATAACACTGGGAGATCACGCGAATTCCCTGAAAGTAACCCACGTACCCCCTGGGCATCCGCGGACCAGCCTTTTGAGAAACAGTACTATAGAGATTGTTATACTCATAAATTATGCGCATTCAGACATGAAGAGAACAATTGGGAAGAAATTTCTTTTCCATAAATATCGTCAGGCGCTACAATTATGAAGCAGATAACTGAAGGTTGCAGAAGCTATTGCTAGCTATGTACAAGGACAAGGACGTCGGATGATAGAGGAAACGGTGAAACTGGGAACTTATTACGTACAACAATCAATGACAGATTCAAAGGAGTCACGATGGACCGGTGACCTTGAGGCCTGCTAACTGCGTGAGGACCAGTTCAGAATTAGCGCTTGCACGAGAGCTTGCTGCTTACATAAATCCGGCTGAAGGCGTCCGATAGCAATAGCTTCAGCTATACTCAGGAAGCGCCTTTTGAGTCCCTTTGAGCATCGCTATGGGGCAACTAGGAGAACCCTAAATGAGTATTTAACACGACATTGATGCGCGGTGTTGATCAGCTGCTCACAGATGCGATAACCGCAGAGCAGTAACTCTTCTGACTGAAGAACATTGTGATTGCCTAACTGTGAAAATGCACACTGATAACTGCACATGGTCAATAATATGACAGTCTTATTGCATGTGCCATGATTGAACAGGTTGCATTTCGAGTTAGAGGGACACTTACAGGGAATAATATAATAGCACGAGCAATGAAAATAGTGCTTAGCAAGTCTCGTATTTTGTTAGGCTGCAAGCCACAAGCACTAGCGCACAAATACAACGGTGATCCGTTGTATTTGTGCTATGAGAGGGAAGTATTACTGCAATACGCAGCTGGGAAGTGCGATCCACGGAAATGGTACAGGTAACCACCTTGCGATATTTAACCTATCATTGTGACATATGAGCTCAACTTGTCAACCTGGTAAGTATAGGGCGTGAGAAGGAAATTTCTCGATGCACTAAATCGGCTCGCAGCCTTCCGTGAAGAATCGTACGGTTCGGGAAGTTCATGCTTTGCTGATTGCTGTCTCTTCTCTAACAGACACATGTGTTACACAATGGAACCCGCTTTATTGCCCACGCCGTTCATAGCCCACCCCGATTTATTGACCAGTTTTTCAAAATATCAATTCTTTTCTCATAAATATGCTACATTTTCACCGTCTAATTGCCCACTCTCTGGGTCGTCGCCCCGGTTAATTGCACGGCGGCATGGGTTGTGCTCTTGACGCTTTGTCGATTTCACGCCCTCGCTCCGACTATCTTTTATTACGATTACCCCATAGTTAGGTAGTCCGAACGATTCAAGAACAATAAAGCCATCGGGGGCGTTTTTGACAGATCAGAGAAGGCTACCTACGTCATTCAATACACGAGCAAGCTAAATGAACAAACGGCTGTGGGCAATCCCCCGCCTTAATAAAACGAGAACTGAGCAAAGTGGAGTAATTTGCCCGCTTCACACGTGTCCCTGCTCTATTGGTTGCACACAAGTATGATCAGTAACAGAAAGGATTTGTCCTTGACAAAAATGTTGGATCGTGCTGTCATGATTCATGCCGACAATGTGTTTACAGTCGGATGCCCTGTGACACAAGCAAGCAATAGTATTCCTCCGAAGACTCTGCGTCGACCGTTATGCACGAAATCGGATGGCAAGAAGACACTGCTCAACGTGGCGGTGGTAACAGAATGTCCTACTGCACAACAAACTGTATCGTACTAGTGATCATTTTCTTTTGGTGCACTGCCCATGGTGCTTTATTTGCGTTCTGAAACTTTGCTTTACATGGCAGTCAGTGCAACGTGCATCACCGTGGTCACAAGCCGCTTGAAATCAGTTGCTGCTTACGTACTGGACTGCTTGCTAGATAGCGGGGACGTTCACGTGTATACAGTTAGGCACAGCCTATGTTTCGTACCGCATTCCGAGGTACGGGTATTGCGTTCGGCTCTAGTGCGGAACCATTTGAGGTATCCGTTACCTGGCTCCTGGTTCCCCAGGCTGTTTTCACTACTGACTTGTTTATATTATGACGGATTTAAAGCTACGTGCCCCTGGATCACGTTTCGTTTCAGGTAACCGAAAGATGACTAAACCGCTGGAAAGCTTAGCATCTGCCATGTTATGTCATTCGGACAGCAGAAGTCAACTTATGCTGCATCATCAGTGATGTGAGGACGCCACTTGACGAACATCGAGTGGTTTGCAGCCCAACAAACTAGCCCTACTTACGGGCCATAACCTGCGGTACTGATGCTATGTTGATGGAACCATTCCTCTCCTGTGCAGCCATACATACTAGGTAGGCTAAGAATACTACCTAAGCGAGTACGCGCAATTCTCCACATATCTTCCGCTTGACACCGCTGCCCTCGGCTTTGTTAATAAGCAGTTTCTAAGCGATAGCTACGCAATCCGGAACTGTTACCAATACTATACCGCGGAACCTTTCCCTGAATATCCTTATCGTATCCTGCGCGCCGCATCAATCATAAGGGATTTAGTGAGGCGATATCCATTCACCTGCGCACCTTTCCTCGTGCAAACGATTATCCTATAACCGTTGTCATCAAGATTGCTACATCGATGCTCTGCAGAACGGCACACACCCGATTTCTGATACGTCTGTGATGCATACGTAAACTGCTACGAAATCTACGACGAGAAATGAGCCAGCATTTCCGATGAACCACATCGCAGCTTATGTGTTATCAGTAAAGCATATCGCAATACGTATTTCACGGCACACATACGCAAACCGGTACGCTGAACGACGTTGCGCACTCCTTTCTAAACGGGCGCCAGTGTGTTCCACTATCGCGAAACTGCATCTTGCAATTGCGGCACGTAGTATTCCTTGCAACCACTGGGCGATGAAAAAGGAAAACACCATTTCTATGTATAAAATGATATGTTAATCACATGAAATTAGTTACAAATCGGACATGTGAATAGCACGTCCGTAATTCCCTGTCACGTGCTGAACCATGTTTTCGCAGTGGCGCGGTGTCACACGTGATCGTGCCTCTGACACAACCTGCTCCAGGAATCTGATGCGCCACTCGCTTTGGCTGAGAACACAATCAGGGTCCCCTCGGAGCATTTCCCCATACCTGGTCCTCATCGCTTGCTTGACGTAGCTTTTGATTATACTCCAGATCCCCTCGATAGGGTTCAGCGCCGGAGAGTATGGGGATAATCGTAACAGCCTCCCTGATCGGTACTGCTCTTCCTGGAACAAGTTCTCCAAATCTGTGTGGCACGGCGCGTTGTCACAAATCAGCAGGCACCGTTCGATAACATCCGCACCTTGTGTATCTAGCAACTGTCGCAGCCACTGCGCACATCTTTGTTTATTGTAGCTTCCACGTAAAACGGAGAAGGCTATCAATGCGTCCTTTGTCATTGCTCCGACAAGGTGCACATTTTGACCGCGACTGTTTGCCACAGTACACTGTGCTCGGCTCCCACGTGGTGAACGGCCCCGAGTTCGTGAACAAAAGAGATTGAAGTTCGTCTCGTCGATCCACATCGGTTCCCTTCCTTCCGCTTGAAAATGTAACAGCTGCAGGACGAACAATTTCCGTCGCTGTTTGTTCACCTGCGTGTTCAGGGATTCAGGAATGGTATGTAACTTCTTCATTGTTATCAATCGCCCGTCAAGGTATCTGGCAACAGTACTGGTACAGACCTCAACGTCGAACTCAGCTTTCAAGCGCAAGCGAAGTTTTGCAAGGGTTATGGTGGGTTCCGCCGACACCCACTCAACCAGAGAGTCAACGTGGCTCTCTGTCATCGCTCTGCAACGTGCACCCCCGTGTTGACCTCGTGGTTCGGTCGACTCCAGCACTCTTATCCAATTGCGGCAAGTGTTCAAGTTCACGTGAAGTAAATTGGCGAGGTGCTTCCAGTCGTTTCCTTCTTCATACACAGTCAGTATCCTGTTCCTCACTTCTAACGAGTGGCGGACATACGGACCTCTTCGTGTCATTTGGTGTTGGCACAATGAGCTTTCCAGTACGATCTGGGAAAATATGTCATCACGGCTATTTAAACCAGACATCAACTCCTCCATACATTTGACCCCATTCGGTGTGGTATGTCTTGTTGCGACATAATTTGTCACTTCGCGCACATGTCCGCCGCTTACGAATTCCGCTGTGCGCATTTGTACCGATAGCGCGTGCGGCCTCAGTGGATGTCACTCGAACAAGCGCAGTGGGAACAGGGTAGCGCACAGCTCAGCCGCCTACTAGGCCTGTACTACGGCTGTGGTTTGCTTACCTGAAGTGCCAGTCTGCGAATTCACGCCGAGTATCGTAGGGGTCACAACGTCGAAACATGAAGGCTGGGTAGTGCCCTACCTTCCGGATAACCGAGACGTATCCTCCCTTTAACAAGGCGATCCGAATCAACTGGGCTATGCAGTGGTGAGCGAGTGCTACAGACGCACGTTGTGTATGGGACCTAGGGTGTTGTTGAATCAGTGCTCTGATACACGGGGGTGTGACATTCACGACTGCCTGAGGTGAGGTGTGCGATCGATAATTAGCCTCGATTCACGCAGTCCAGCTGAGTGAAGCGTGACGGCAGACGTTAGGTGTGGCAAGAATTAGGCGACTGAACCACTCGTCCGTTCACAAAAAAAGATAAGCTGCCCTGCTGACCGCCTCCATGATTATTGATCAGCTCCAGTGTGCCTGTGAAGCAACGTATATCCGTCTTGCGGCGCCGCACTTGTCCGAACGCGTGAATAAAGACTGCACACGTTGGTTGCAGCAATGTGGCCCTGGGGCAATTGACAGCTCCATTATGGCTCATATTGTCCATAGTGAGCATCAGGAGGATTGAACTCTGCCCTTAGAATAGTATACGAGGTTCGACAACAAAGATAGAAAGGTTTACGATTTCGTACACTTGCGACGGCCAATGCTAGTTTCAATCGCACATTTCAACCGTCCTTATGCTCACAAAAGATGCTAATCCGGGCTCTTCAGCTTCCTTGGCCCGGGAAAAATAAGGATACTTAGGTCAACTGCTATCGGTCAAACTTCGTAACATGTAATTAACTTGTTTCACTTTTTCACGTACGTAATCTCTAATAACGGAGTCCATTTTGCTCCTTTTTTAGCCCTAAATATGGTCGTAATGGTTCGAAGGTAAATCATTGAAAATAATTGCTCACCAAATGGTCGACGTTTCCACTAGTCTGGCCTATAGCTTGATTCTAACGAAATGGTAAACATGTGCCCAGCACAATTGATGGCATGTCAGCCCTCCCCAAAGTTTTGATGGTATGTGGGATACCATCAGAATTCAGATGGGAAGACGGTTTTTTAGAATTTCTTACATGTTGGTTAGCAATGAAAGAAAATGCAATCTTACAGGGAGCGTTGGTTGTTTGCACCTCAATGCTTGCATAAAACGGGGTCGTCTCTAGGCTCAAGGAGGTAGCAAAAGCTAGCTAAACGCTTCGCAGATGTTGGCTGGATCATGAAGGGACTGTCCGTCTGCATTACCCAGTCCATTGACCAAAGGTAAGTGGTTATCAGTTTTGAGACGCAGCATTTGAACAACATCCTACGTGTTGCATGTCGTCCGTAGAGCCAACGTTTTTCGTGTATCTTCTTCGTCAATTGTATGTGTCTGACGCTGTCAAATATGTTGTGCTACCTTAAAAGCAATGTAATATTTTCGGATTGATGTATATAGCAATTAGTCTTTTGTGTTTTCGGCTGACTGAACGCGCAAATGCGTCTTTTTGGACAGTGTGATCCCCTTACATTTTGGAGTATCGGCAGCAATGGCCTGGTGCACCCGAGGGTAGAATTACTCCATGGTAGTGCACACATTGTTACAGTGAAAGATTGCGTCCCAATGGAATGATGGGATAAATGTTTGGAAATGTTTCCCGTTTATCCTATGGGTTAAATATTGCGAAATAAAGGTGTAGTTGGTGGCCAACGTAACGCAGAAAGTTTATCGTACCATCTTGTGGTCATTACAACAGATTTTGTCTAATACCTCTGTTTATGTAATTGTGACCCCCAAAGTGAATATCAGGTCGAGTATATTGGTCGCTGTTCTTGGCTCAGTAACACACTGTATCCACCCACTAATTCTGAGAGAGAAAGGGAAAGATGTATGTGTAGATGAGGATGTTTGAGAAAACCGGTTTATCTTTGTTTGGTTGAAATCACCAGCAATTATCTTCCGTCTGTGTGGCATCTCGTCAGCAAACTGGAAAGCTGAAGTGATAATGGCAACACTGGCAGTTGACGCAGTTGGCAGGTAGTAAAGGTATCGGAGTAGCATGTGGGAACCGGTTTCTGAGACGGACAATCAAAGAGAATTGTGGAAATTAATTACCTGTGAATGATCGAGAACTTCTGCTGCAAATATACAGTTTAGGTATATAATGCATTAACCTCCTTTGCCTGTTCAGCAATGTTATCGGAAGAGCTGATAACTTATAATTATTAAGGTAGTCTAACGTATCGGGGAGCGCCATGTTTCAGTAACGAGGAGTGCTTCTGGGTTGCTGATATGAATAATGATCTATAACGGGTAAAAAGGCAGGTGCTTGACATGTTCCGGAGGGTGTATAACGTGACAAAAAATATAGCGAAGGGATAATGGAGTCGTCAGTTCGGGCGCTTACAGATGTAACTGCACTGTCGTATAAAGGGAGTTTGAAATGAGGATGTACGCACACAAAGCAACAAGGGAGTGGTAATTGTTCACATCATAGGCGAGAAAAATAAAAAAGATAGCAAGGACTACGCTTACTCGTGTGCAATTATCTTGGGACGACAGGATACAGAAATCCAGTTCCTATAGTAGTAGCGTTTATCAAATTTCGTGCAAGGCGTTTGGAGTGACTCATTCTCGAGTAGGGTTATGGCACTATCCCCTGTCTGTTGTCCATTAGTGTCAGCATCTGGTGGTCATGAGCTATAGCACGTAGTGTAAATGTGACAGGGTATCGTCAAGGCGTTTTTTGAAAAGGGATAGGGTGGGTGCATTAATTACATGTTCCGGGAGGGTGTTCCAAGGCTGTGCCACTCAAGGGAGAAATAGTTTCGCCGACATTCCAGGCGGCTGTACTGCGTGACTAACTTAAACTGGTGACCTCTTAGCGAGATGTTTTGAGTGTATTAGAAGGGAATGGCAAGGGTGGTTGAGGTCTGTCAGGATTAGGTACACCATTATGAGATCGCCCCTTAGACGGCGATAACGTCCACTGTATATTTTGAGGGTCTGCAGCCTGAGTGGGTAGGGGAGGCTGGTCAAATCTCTGACGCTCTTCGTTGCCCCTACGCTGTGAAGCATCGAGCGCGGTGAGATGATGCTTGAGCCAGGGTTGCCACGCTGGCATAGCGTATTCCGCGTGCAGCCTCACGTACGCACTAAGCATTTTTGGAAAGATCGAAGGGTCAAACTTCACCGATGCGGCCTACGGTGAATTCGTCAACATATTTACCAAGCTCGTAGCAAGGACATCTGAAACCAAAATCTACCGGCCTAAAAAGATGAAGTCTTTCGTAAGGAGCAGGACACATAAATGCATGGCATTAAGGGACTTGGCATGGCACAGCTATATAGCCTCCACAAACGGTCGTACCTGGGATGTCTACACAATGCAAAGGAACCACTGTGTCAAACTCGTCCGGGATGATGAACTGAAGATCGAACAAGGTCAAGTGAAAATGTTTTGCTCCAATCCCAAACTGCTATACAGACATGTAAACAATTTGCGTCGTGTTAAGCGCGGTATTTCTGCTCTGCACACAGCATGCGCGTTAGCCCGAACCGCATAAGAGGCGGCCAACCTCCTTGGACAACAAGTTGGCCGTACCTACCAAAGCGCGCAATCATCATACATCCTGCCTAGGCAGATAACGCCGCCATCAGGGCTTATTCACATATCGTTTACCTCCGCAGCTGTACTGAAGAGGCTGATGTCTCTGCGCGAGTTCAGCTCCCCGGGTGCGGACGGCATTCGTGCAAAGGCGTTGAAAGTTGCTGCCATGAGTTTGGCAGGACCATTAGCAATTTTCTTTCAACGATGTCTGAACGAGATGCATGTCCCCACAATGTGGAAGCACGGAATCATAACGCCTATCTATAACTGACACAGCTGGGACAGCTAATGTTAGGAACGTGGGCATTAAATTGGTGGACCAGGGTGTTTTTCGGGTGTTTTCCTTTTAGACCCATCAAGAAGTCGGAGCACCCCTATCAACTCCTGGATCGACGACCCGCTCAAGAAGGAACACTTACGGGATTCATCCTATCGTTCCAGTCCCACTTGAACTTGAACTTGAACTTGAAACCGAGATAAATGCGCTGTTCTCCCAATGGGTAGCACTGAGCCGTACGGTGCATACCGCATTGGTGGGTTTCTCCTCAGGAATACCACTCACGAGATTGATCTCTGGGTTATCGTGACTTCTGTTCTTAGAACGAAGCAGGACACGTTGAAGAAGGTGACCACTGGAAGGAGACTGGTGGGTGCCTTAAGAAGATCATTCGCTCGAATGACTCCTGAGATTTTTCGACTTTTGTTCACTTCGTACGTACGTCCAGTCTTAGAATATGGCCTCCCAGCTAGCCATCCGCTTTCGAATTTTGAATGCGCTCTGCTGGAAAAGGTTCAGAGACGTGCATCGAAAGCTGTTCTGTGGCTTCGTGATCTCCCGTACGCCATTCGACTCTAGCAGCTAAATCTGTTCTCTCTCGAGCTCCGCCGTCGCCGGGATGGTCTCATCTACACTAGGCGCAT